CGTATGCTTTTCGGGCTGTTGGCCCTCTTGAGCCTTTCGCAGGTTGTACCTCAGCGACCAAAAAACTGGTTATTCGGGCATACTGATAATTCATGAAACGGGTAGTTAGGCCAGAAGTGCATGAGAACGCGAAACAATGTGGAAAATAGTACAAAATATATGTAAATATTAAATAATGTATAATACAATATAATGCGGCTTATAATTGTAGAACGACATTTGAAAATTATTCGCATGTGTTTCTTTTGAACGAAAAATTGAAATCTATTTTAAGGAGAAATAGCGACCATTTCCCGTCCCTGGACACTTTTATTTCTCCGTTCATCATTACTCTTCACAATTCATCTTTTCATACTTCATCCATAAGGTTAGAAATGGTCGTTATTTCTCCTTAAAATAGATTTCGATTTTTCGTTCAAAAGAAACACATGCGGGATAATTTTCAAATGTCGTTCTACAATTAAATAATGTATATATTAATATACATATTAAAAATATATGTGTAATATATGTATTTATTAATTGAGAGAAAGAGAGAGAGTTGTTAAATTCTAATGATAAAGTAAATAAGATAGAGAGGTTAAGAGACTTCACCTTAGCAGCAAAGGAAAGAGAGACGACGGTGAGCGCCAAGGGAACGTTCTGCACCCCGCACTCGATGGCCACGGTGCGACAGGCCGGGGCAGTCTGACGGCACACACGGGCGAGCAGGTAGCCCACGGCTAGCCCCGAGGCAGGTAGCAACACCACGCCAACGTAGAGCTGCCAGGGCGCCCCACTGAACATGTCAGGGAACAGGAAGAACTCAAGCACGATGCACAAGGCAACCATCCCGAAGCCGCTCCAGGAGCCCACCTGCTCATACATCCACATTTAGGCCCCACTATGTACTAACTGTCAACCTGCAACCCCAAACCACATCATTGACTCTATTGAATCATCCAATGATGAGCTCTACTCATCCCCAGCAGACATCATCAACAAGCTATACAAGCTTGATACACTGATATGATTGAGTAGTTTCAATTTCAAAGTAGTTTCAATCTCAATCTCTCTCTACTTTGTAGAAAGAGAGAAAGAGTTTTACTTTGTCCGCTCTGGCTGCAACAGAGCATTGCGGTATGTCTGCTCTCCACGGTCACCCCTGGGCTCAACACTATTGGACCCGTCTCTGCCTCCCCCTGATCTCCGCGGATCACCACCCTGCCCCCCTGATCCTGCTCTACATCCCGGCTCTCCTGGCCTCACCTGGCGATGATCCCCTGGCCACCCATCCCCAGGCCCCTCCAACAGTGCTTTGTATATATTCCGCTTTTTGCGTCCATCGGGGCTCAAAAATCATTCATTCTGGTTAGCAGTCCCGTAAATAAAGATATTTCCGATATGATTGAGTGTAGATAAGAAAGAAGAAGACATTTAGGCCTACGCTCCTTGTAGTAAGATTAAACAGGCGTTCACAGGACTGCACAAGAAAATAAACATTGAGAAAAGAGAGCCGTATGTAAATGGATATGTAAATGAACGGTCACCTGTAAATAACTAACTCATCTTTTCTAAGCAATTATGCACCTGGGCGAATCCTGTGTAGGGCTTAGGTCCCCAATAAAAGGCTTGTTGTTGATTAATAAAGTGATCTAGTTTGATGCTTTTTTATGATCTCCTTAACTTCCTAGCATCCTTTTTAAAACTCCCTTTACATCAAATCATAATTGGAAGTAACTAATTGTGTATATAGAAACATCTCGAGAGATTTTAGGGATAGTCATTGAGTTACTGAGCAAAAAAATGCATTTATCGTTCTAATATTTAGATGAGAATGATAGCGTTTATATTTCCTTTGGAATCTAATGCCCCGGGAATAGTTTGAGTACAAAATTAAGATTTATTATCGCATATTTTCGATTAATTCTTTGCTCTAAAAAATTCGAAATCACCCTGGATCAACCTTAAATGAAATATATATGTAAAAAATATATCAATACATGTTTTAAAAATCGCTTTCTGCTTCTAAACTATCAAATTATTCCCTATGTGACATTTAATTTACAATACCAAGAATTAGTGGGCAAAAGGTTCTGAAAATCTGCGTAAATAGAGTACCAGTAACGAACAATAAATGATCTTAATTAGAACAGAATCCACCTATACATCGCCGTCCACTCTAATGGCTATACAGGCAGCAACATATCTTGGTACTGACTCAATGAGAATGGTGTCCTGAGGGATGGCTGCCCATTCCCTGTCGACCATCAGCCACAGTTCATCTTCTGAACACGGCTGTGGCAGCGAAAGCAAACAACGTCCAATTGTGTTCTATAGGCGAGAGATCAGGAGATACTGGTGGCCATAAAAGCACCGAGGTTGCATGCAGGACATGTTGTTTGATAGGTGCTATGTGGTCTGGCGGTATTCTGCTGGAAAATGGCATTTTGTAACCGTTGAAGGATGGGTGGCGTCACCGGCCGTCATCCACGTATCGTTTACCCGACACAGTGCCCTCAATACGAATCAGAAGTGATATGATATCATAGGCGATGTCTCTCCAAATCATAAATCCGCGTTGACGTGATGTACGGCGTTTCACAAATGCGGCTGGATTGGACCTGTCAACAAGACGGCGCCAAACTTTTTCTCGATGACTGTCATTGCTGAAACAGAAGATAAATTCACCCGAAAACACTACCCTGTGCCATTCCGTTGTCCATGTAGCTCTATCCCGACAAAATTGCAAACTGAGAGGTCTGTGCCGATGGATCAATGGTAGTCTTCTTAACAGGTGCCATGAGCGTATGTCGCCGGCGATCAATCTGCCTATATATATAATGGTTCTGGTCGATATGGGAGAATCAAGAGTGTCTTGAACATCGTGCGAAATGGCGACAGAAATAGGCTGTGGGACCGCCAAAGCCATCCGACAGATGAGTCACTCCACGCGTGCTGACGTCACTCTGGCCGCACCAGCACCTCTCAATCGTGCCACATTCCTTGTTACAACCATCTTCGCAATAGCTAGTGCACTGTGGACACATCAAGGTGTCTGCCCGTAGAGATTTGACGTATGGATCAACCGGCACTTCTGAGTCCAATCACCTCCAGTGAAATCGTTTGTTTGCTGGAACTGCCTCGGTTGGCGGTGGCCTGACATTCTCTGCTAATAAACATTTTCTCTGAGTCAAAAAGCTAAAATGTTAAATACTTTCCTTATCAGATAGAGAGGTGCAAATATTGGGAAATTTTCAAATTCTTCTCTTATATATTAATCAACATGCGTGGTATAGCTACGCAAGTTGCATCATTTACATAACTTTGTGAGATAAATTTGCTTTGCAATATGCATATTTATCTTCCCAGTAATTCTTGGTGTTGTTAATTCAGAATATAACGCAGTGTAAACAGAGAGAACGATTCGGTTCCAAAATCACTTTATTAGGTAACGCTCAACAAGAGCAACTTAGTTTATGATATTTGTAACAATGAATAATATTGACAGGTGTCCCATCTGGATGGAGCTAGATTTCCTTCCAGAACAAGGGCTGAGACAAGCTAATCAGCGGGTCGCTGTTTTCTCTAAAGAGGGAGTAATGTCAAGTAGCTCCATCCAGAAGGGACACTTGTCAATCATCCCTGGATCCCGGGGGGACCACAGGTGTGAGGGCTTCTCGGAAGCTGATCTGTAAATAAGGAAAAGGGGACGGTGGCTGACGTCGTTCATTAGGATTATCTTTTAACTTGGGGTAAGTGGTACACTCTCTCTCTCCCTATAAATATCCCTTATAATAAATTATTTATTCCCAAATTTGCCCTTGGTTTATTTATCTCCGCGACAATATTAGGAAGGTTATTCACATATTAAACAAAATGTTAACGTGGGATTCAATCCATTGTGTTAGTGAGAAAGAAGAATTATAAACCTCTACATCGCAGACTCTTCCTTAAATGTATTCAAAAATGTAAAAATAACAAACTTGCATTCTAAGACATCTGATGGTTTAGTAAAAAGAATACGACAGGGATTCTTCCATCTAAGGAAATTTTATCCCTCTACATACAGGTTATTATCTCAACTTGAACTTCTCTCTCTGATTAGGTCTCATGCAATACAAAGTCACATTTGTAAAACCCCATATCAAAAAGATTAAAACTCATTTTTCTTAATCCATAATTTAAAAGAATAAAATAATATTTTTCGCAATAATATTGAATTAAACAATCAAAAAATGTTTCTGGAGATGGGTTTCTTTTTATTTTAAAACTGTCTCAAGCTTTCAGGAATCTCTGTCCATCAACAGGATAACTTATGCAATGAATAAAACGCCTCCTGGTCTAAACTATTCCGCATCAGGCAGCGTTTTATTATATTATTATTATGCTTATGAGGTGATACAGCAGCGTATTTACAATTAGAGAGGAGACAAAATGAATAAAATCTAGAAAAAAAGAAGTGAGGACCCGAAGTTGATCCACTTTGCCGTAGTGGGGGGGCCCGAGTCCGACTTCCAAGTCGCTCCGCCAAGAGATCAACACCATAGAGGTCCGTACGTCTCTTGACCTCACGGACAAAACAGCAGCTACAGCATTTTATTCATTGTATATGTTATCTTGTATAAGAACAGATAGCCTGAAAGCTTGAGACGGTTTTAAAATAAAAAGAAAACTCATCACCAGAAACCTTTTTTAATTGTTTAATTAATGTCCAGGAGATTTAATTCAATTGACCTCATTGAAATCAAACTGGTGTGTTTGTAGGATAGATATATATTGTAGAACGACATTTGAAAATTATTCGTAAAATTTTTCCGTTTATCATTACTCTTCACAATTCATCCTTTCATGCTTCATCCCTAAGTTTAGAAATAATTGTTATTTATCCTTAAATTAAATTTCGATTTTTCGTTCAAAAGAAACACGGGGGATAATTTTCAAATGTCGTTCTACAATCATAAGCCGCATTATGATGTATTATGAATTACTTTATATAATATTTACGAAAGGAAAAATATGTCCAGAGTAGTTTGTAGTGGACATGGCATCTTCCCGGTAAGCGGAACACTGTGGGTTCGATTCCCATCCTGGACACTTTATTTTTTCGTTTATCATCACTCTTCACAATTCATCCTTTCATACTTCATCCCTAAGTTTAGAAATAATTGTTATTTCTCCTTAAATTAAATTTCGATTTTATGTTCAAAAGAAACACGGGGGTAATTTTCAAATGTCGTTCTACAATCATAAGCCGCAATATATAGTATTATAGATGTACCTTAGTAATGACGTTGGCCACCCGTGGCAGCCGTAGTTTGATCAGCACCCCCAGGGCCACGGGCGCCGTGACATAAACCAGCGAGGTGGCGATCTTGCCGTAGGGGATGACAAGAGAGGCGGTCTCCAGGCCACGTCCGTACAGCCAGATGTTGAGAGGGATGAAGCCAAGAGCAAGCAGTGTGGAAGCTGTGGTCATGGCCACGCTGGGAACAAAGAGTAGTTGTCGGTCATACATCATTCTCTATTGTTCTCTCTATATATAACGTTTATTTTTTTTTATTTTTTTTCCAAAACTTGTGATTCGTTGTGCAATATAACGTTTATATGAAGGATCATTTCAAGTAAGAATATATTTATATATGGAAAATTTACCGGGAGGAAATTGATCAATAGAAGCATAGGGCGCCTCTCCCGTCAAAATAAACGTCAAAACCTGACGCCATCTATTGACTGTCGCCAGCCGTTGCCAGCAAAACACCTCTTTGGAAGATTGTGAAGATTCCATTAGATCCCGTGTGGATCTCATGGAATAAAGTCCGCCCTAGACTGACGAGGGCCATTAGCCCGAAACCATGGTCTCTAGGTGGACGCTTCTCAGTTTGCCAAAGCTGGTGTTGTGGCTTTGTCACCGACCCGAGGCCGCTAGTTGCGGCGACGGTCAATAGATGGCGTCAGGTTTTGACGTTTATTTTGACGGGAGAGACGCCCTATGCTTCTATATATTTATATGTGAAAAAATAGTACAAAAGTGAAATTGAACTGGGATCAGGTGGATGAATTGAGAGAAAGGCATCTCCTTATCACACACACACACAAAGCTTTATTAAGACCACCGGTCTTATACAGATTCACCACAGGAAGAAATAACAGATGGAGCTCCTATACTCCAGGCAGCGCAGCACCCAACAACAGCCTCCAGGTCTGGCGCATGTCCAATGGCCACACGTTCCTTTGTGAAAACGTCATGGTTAGCGAATCACTGAACAGGCTAGTAGGGAATCAGCCGCGTTCTAGTCTTCGCTTTCCTCGTCCAAATGGACCACGACATTCGGTGATTCTATTACACAGGTCTACAAAACTCAAAGTAGGTGTACCTTATAGCATATATATATCGGGATTCAGAAAAAAACTCCGAGAGATATTTGATGCACAGTGATAAATATCCCTGTGCATCAAATATCTCTCAGTTTTTTTTTCTGAATCCCGATATATATATGCTATAAGGTACAACTACTTTGAGTTTTGTAGACCTGTGTTATCTCCTCCGAACGGTGACTGCGGCCTTGTACATCTTCTTATCGTACCACTAAAAGTTTCTGATAGCTTGCGCCATCTATCGGAATAAATATAAACTAATGGTTGATTTATTTTTCCAGTATTGGGCAAAAACCCTTTCTTGATTAATTAAGAAAAGCTAAATACGTATGCGTTTCGGTCTTTTGTACCTCATCAGCGTGGGGCAAGCTGTACCTCAACGACCAAAAAAATTTGGTCTTTAAGGCATCCTGAAAAATAATGAACTGCCTTTTTCTTATAAAAAAAATGTACATACACTGCGTGACATTGAAAATGGAACACCAAGAAATAGTGGCCAGAAAATTATGCAAATTTCAGCGTAGACGCGCCTAACCGAGTTATGCAAATGATGTAAAATGCGCAGCTCTCGTGCGCACATGGAGTAAGATATAAGGGAAGGAACTTGAAGAAAGGACAGTATTCGTGTCGTTATTTCTTCAAGGAAAATCATTATAGAAATTTTGTTCTTGTGTCAAAAGACACGTGTAATAACAGAAAATGCCAGGTCATCGTAAACGGAGGCAGTTAAAGCAGACAGACGCTTTTACGAGGGGCATGGTGATCGGACTGAAAAGGGCAGGTTGGTCCATACGTCAAATCGCAGCTGATACACACCTTGGTGCGTCCACGGTGCACCGACTGTGGAGAAGATGGTTGGAACAAGGAAATGTGGCAATTTATAGGAATGTCAGTGCAACCAGAGTGACGTCAGCACGTGTGGATCGGCGTATCCTTCGACAAGCAGTGGTGGCCCCACAAGCCACTTGTACCGCCATCCTGCAACATGTGCAAGACACCCTAGATCATTCCATCTCGACCAGAACCATTTCCCGTCGATTGGTTGCTAATGGCTTGCACTCATGCCGTCCGCTAAGAAGACTTCCATTGACCCCACCGAATAGGCGCCAACGTTTGGAATGGTGCCGGGCTAGATCGACGTGGATGACGGAATGGCACAGGGTCGTGTTCTCAGATGAGTCGCGTTTCTGCTTGTCCAGTGATAGTCGCCGTGTACGCGTGTGGCGTCGACGTGGAGAAAGGTCCAATCCGGCAGCAATTGTGGAACGCCCCACCGTGCGACAACGTGGAATCATGGTTTGGGGCGCAATCGCGTATGATTCCAGGTCACCTTTACTTCGTATTCAGGGCACTATGACGGCCCAACGATACGTTGATGATGTGCTGCGACCGGTGACACTCCCCTACCTTCAGGGGGTACCCAATGCCCTTTATCAGCAGGATAACGCCCGACCGCACACTGCTCGCATTAGCCAACAAGCTCTGCAAGATATACAGATGCTTCCCTGGCCACCGTACTCTCCTGATCTCTCACCAATCGAGCACGTCTGGGACATCATTGGACGCCGTTTGCATGCCTTGCCACAGCCGCGTTCAGAAGACGAACTGTGGCAAATGGTTGAGAGGGAATGGAGAGCCATCCCTCAGGACGCCATCCGTACTCTGATTGACTCTCTACCTAGACGTGTTGCTGCGTGCATCGCCGTCCGCGGTGGTCCTACTTGCTACTAAGCCGACGCCGTTCTCGCTCTGTATTATGACTATCATTTTGAAATAAAGATCACTTATTGTTCGTCCCTGTCTCTCTCTGTCTGCCGAGTTTCATCACTTTCTGGCCACTATTTCTTGGTGTTCCATTTTCAATGTCACGCAGTGTATATAGATTAAAAATTTGATTTATAATAACTTTGCCCTTTTAAGAATAATTATTGTTGCAGTTATAAAATAGTGAAACTAGGTTAATTAATTAAAATTATTCGAAAAAGAATTCTGATGCTTGGAATAGTGGAAAAGAAAGAATTATGTGCGTAAATGTATTTAAAAAAGAATACATATATAAGAAAGAATCTGCTACAAACTTATAGAATAGATAGCAAGAGAGGTGATCGCAATGTGGTGGTTGCTCTACACCGAACGTCACCCCGATCGGTACCTAGGTCGTCTGTGGACGATTTGATGCCCCTGCATTTCCTCAAACAGGTTGAGTGTGAGACGGCAACAACACGCTCCAGTTGCAGTCTAGCACGACCCGGGAAGGTCTGATCGCGGACCCCACGAGGGAGCCCGCTATTCAAGAGAGGTGTGCGATAAGCTAGAGAACATTGGAAAGAAAGAAGACAAAGTGTGTGGTGGATGTTACCTGAGAGCGAGGTCGCCGTCACAGAAGTAGGCGAAGGTGTTTGACAGCACACCACCAGGACTAGAGGAGATCACCAGGACCCCGGTGCTGTGGGCCGCGGACAGCCCGAAGGTGCGGGTGATGCCGAAGCCCAGCAGAGGGAGCAGAAGAAACTGACTCAGCATCCCCGCACCTAGCCCCACGGGTCGCCGGCAATGCGACCACAGCTGTTCCGTACAAGTTGTGTGGTCAGGAGAATGTGAAATTAATAGAGAGGAATATATATAATAAAGATTCCTTCCTGCTTTTACAATTTGACAAAATCAATGTAGAATCTAGATTTGGCTAGAAGTAATATTTCTAGGTCTCCGTGTTAAAAGGCAAGTTATCCCGAAAGCTCGAGAAATAAATAAAAATTAAAAAGAAACCAAGCCCTAGATCCCTTATTGATTTTGTCAAATAAATAAATATATATATGTCATAATATATGCTCTTCCAGGATTAATAAAACAAACCTACTGTCAACGAGAGAGAGATGGGCAGCTAAAGCGAGACACTTTAGACATCACGACATTCCAAAGGGGCGGCAAAAGGGGCCCGCCCGTCAACACCTGAGGACTATTTTGGGGGTAGTCGGGGGGTGACCACACAAGACAGTCGTTCAGCGGACAGCGCTCTCGCTCTCTCTCGGATGGCTTCCAGATTCCTCTTCCAACTCGTCGTGTGATTATTTCTCTCCTCACCACATTATTACCACTATATTGCCACATATATATGTGGGGATTTGTGAAGCAGTCGTGGTAGTTGTGATCTGAGGGGTAAGGACACACAGAAGACAGGATTCAAAGGCAAAAACCCGTGGGAAGTAAATCGGAGAGGAAAGAGAAGATCCGAGGACTACCCTGGGAACAACTAGTGTTAAGACCATCTCGGTACGAACTGTCTCTCGATCATCAAGTTAAGGTGCTTTTAAACTGCTTTGAGTAGGATAAATTATCCCCAAAAGGAAGAGGAGTAAGAGAAGGAGTTAGAAAGCTGGACATCTGGTGACCAAAGAGGTTGTTTAGACCATGCTATTTTATCTAACCTTTCCTCATACTCCCACACAGACCATTTTAGTGATATACTTCGAAATATTATCACATATATACTCTTGTTCTGAATATAGAGCAATCCATATTTAAATCTTTAGATAATTACGAGAGGGAAGAGCGAAGGTCCGAGGACTACCCTGGGAACAACTGAGACCACCTCGGTGACAACTGTCCACATTCAGCTGCTCTTAATTGAGTAAGATAAATTACCCCAGGGGGGAAGGCAGTTAAAGCTTGACACCGGTGACCAAGTTGGCTGTTTTGACCTCACTATTTTTAATCATTCC